GGACATCTTTTTCAATAAATAGGAAGATCGTGAAATATCTCATTCTTTATAACCCGAGAATACAAAATCGCAATTTTATTACAGGCTATCCAAGGTTGAGCGTTTTTGTACATTACTATATAAATACACTATACACAACTGATCATCATGACCTTCATGTACATCGTATCAGTCTTTTTCTCTTGGAAGGGTATATCCGATTATGTTCCATCAAAACAAATATTTATAATAACATACTATAACGTTTTGATGATTTGTTAACGAATTACGATTTGATGTTCCAAAACTCAACTTTGACAGCCTGCCATTCCGCAATTTTAATAGGCAGCAATTTTGTATTCTAGGGTTATAAAATACAAACAAGAAGCTTAAAAATAGAGATAACATCCCATTTAAAAAAGTGTTCTAAAATGTTGAAATTTTTAGCTGACGTTTTTGGGCTGAAACAATGTATTCATGCAATAATTTAATTAGCCTGACCCGTTTGCACAATAAGTAAGGGGAGAATTTTTATACATAAAAATCCAAGGGCACCTCCTCATTTGTTGATATGGTACCTGAATACAATATAAAATGTTGCACCGCACAGCTACTGGCAAGTCCGAAAGCACACATTAAACTGCACCTAATATGAAATGTATAATCGATACAAAGTATTTTTATAGATGTCGTTGTGGCAAATTAGTAAGTACTTCCGATTAAAGTGAGGTTGTCATTCTACCTAACTTTAATCCGTACATGCGTACATCGTACCTCATGAGACAATTCCTTTCTGTGCAATAACAAAGCACCTTACTTCTCGTCATTCATACTTTGTAAACACACCTATATTCCAAGTCACTCGTTTATAATATTGAATTGGTATAGGTATATCCGGTATGACTAAAAAAATATTTGATTGGAGTCGTGACCTTTTTTAAGCGATTGGTTACACAGGGCGAGAAAAAATGCATGTTCCTGAGATCAGAACAACCTTTTTACATGTTTTTTTTGGGTCGCTGAATTTGAATTCGAATACGAAGTAATGGGGGTGAATAAATGTAAAAAAAAAACAAAACCAAATCCGTTTTAAAGGATTGCGACTCCATTTGACGTAGTTAACCCGTGAAATGTCATGAGCATTCTTGATACAAATCTTAAAGAGGGCTCTATATGAGAATCTGAAAGTAATATGAATCAATATAACCCCACGCTAGAGATGAGAATGGGTGGAAAAAATATGTTTTCGTTTCTGAAAAAAATTAGGCGAATTCTCTCTCGGGTGCTTCAAGCACTTGAAACTATATTTTCTGGATTCACACTTGGATTATTTTCCCGACAATTTAAGTGATTTCAGTGAGGAGCAAGGATGGCGATTTTACCAGAACATCAAATCAGGGTAGACGAGACGTTAAAATGAAGGCTGACTACTGCTATACTTTGAAATGGATAGCAGGTCGGAACCTGAAATCACTGAGGGGGTATTTTGATGATAAACGAGTCAGAAAACAGGCGAAAATAAATTGAAATCCACAAGTAACAATTTGCTTTCAAATGGTAAAATACAGGAAAATTTCATAAAAATAAAAATCGCCAAAATAGTGATTCTCAACTTAATCGTTTTAATTTTTTTATTCAAAGCAAAACGGCAATATGTGAACATTTCCAAGTTTACAATCATTCTGCTTTTCATGAAAACCCCAGATAGAATTTTTTTCACATCGTCTCACTTCTTGAGTGAAGTTATATCGATTTGAACCACATTTTACGGGTTAACTTCGTCAGAAGTCATCGTATTCCTTAAAGTGTGCTTTTTAGTTTTTTTACCCAAATTTTGACCTTGAACCCCCTCAAATTACACCGGATTTGGATTTAGTGAGCCAAAAAACTCTAATAAATTCGTTCTGATCTCAGGCGTGAGTTATTAAGTATGACAACGGTGTCGTTTAATACTTTTTGATCAAAATCAGCCATACAATCATTTACCTAAAGTTCAGTGGTGTATTTATTTCAAGATGGTGAATTATCAGTCTTACTCAAAAGTTCAATGATACTATCAAAGTTCCACATTTGATATATCACTGGAAACCTAAATAGCAACACTGTCATTGATGCTCTGCGCAGATTTGTAAAGTGGTCCGGTAGAATCAACCACAGTGTTGCTACGTTTATTCCCAATCATAGAGGTTGTACGTTATAATCTCAAGATGGTCATACCACCATGTAGACGGTACTGACAAGTGAGCGGTTGGCTAGAAGCACCATGGGCATAACAAGTAACTGATATGAATTTAGGTGTTGTAGATATCGCAAAGATTGAAGAAAACTTGTCATTAATCTTAAAATGATCGCGGTTATCGCACTTTTCTCCCTACCTGGAGAACTAAAGGACAGGGAAAGCGTATATTTGTTATTTGTCGATTTTGGAGCGGTTTAACTATTTATTCGTATTATTCAATGTAGGCTTCTTTATTGCTTTTATGGAAAATCTTTACCTAATATTTCACCCTCCATTTGGTATTCGCCACAATCGTGTGGGGCGCCCCGGCAAATTGGGATATGGTGCACCTTAGGAGCAGGATATGCCACTGAGAAGCACCTCACAATTGTCGCAGAAAAAAAGAAATGCCTGCAAGCCAATAAGAATACATCTTTACAAGTTTACATTCTCCCATAGGCAATAGAATATAGAACCAAATTTTATTTAATAAGTCCCATCACTACAAATATGCTCTCAGAGTCACTCAGGTATCCATCAATCTTATTTTTATTCCGTTTACTACCCTTCGTGCCATAGAACTCAAAAGTGTCGAGCTTTTGTTATATGGCTTCTGTACCAGATTCCTTTAAAACGTAATGCCCACTTCTTGTTATATTCGCAAACTTGTGCATGTGACTCCATTCCCTCACTTTTGTTTTGGCACAACACGATCCTTCTCAATTTGAGGCCGGCTTATTACCCTATACCAGTCTTTAACTTCAAGGCTTCCTTAATTCACTAAATTTTCCAAGAACGCAACACAATTTGGCTATTTCTCTAAAAGGAATTAATCTGGATGCTGTCAGCCCAAAGATGTGTCAAAAACTGTTTTTTCAAACAAATTCCAAAAAATGTTTGTGCCATTCTGATCGTAATAGTTTTTTATTAACTTTTCTCTAAGTCTCTAAGTCGATAGTTTTCGAGATATAAGAGATTCGATATTTGAAAAAGTTAAAAATGTGCCACTTTGACCCCAAGAAACAACATGAAAGAACGAAAATTTTAATGTTGTCAAATGTTCTTCAAACATTCATTAAGAAAATTCTAAAGAATCTTAGGGGGATTGTTTTTGTAAACCTTAGTTTTTTAATTGTTAATCAATTGCACCCAATGCATATTCTACGTGACCCTATGATGCATCTCCTGGGCTCACCTAAAATACAGCGTGTAGCACTCGTCAAAAGGGCGGGATGATCTATTAAAGAAAACCTTTCCGTATGTTAGTATTTTGTCCACTAGTTCGATTTTCTTGTAAACATGGGCCACTTTTCTGTCACGAAGTAATCAGACAAATGAAAGTATACGCACCATTACAAGACTGATATAATTGATCGAACCAAAGACTCGTACTTAAGATCATACAATAACACAAAAAGTTTGCCAAATTTAGATAAACGATAAGAGTGGCAAGCAAAAAAGATTTTACAGTGGTCGGGAATATCAAAAAATCTGTGTAATAATATTCTCAATTTTTTTAATTTTTAATCCTTTATGATGCAACTTTTATATAGGTGATTTTTGGTATATCAACTCCTCTTGTCGAGTCCTACAAGTAGTTAGAATAACTTTGAAAACGCCCTGTATACAGTGAGGGCGCACTTGAATAATAATAAAAAATAAAGTATATAATAATAACATCCCCTAAAATGCGTTTTTAACTGATGAATGGGGAATACTTATGTACCTTGGCAACATTAAAATGTTCGTTTTTTTCATATTGCTTTTCTGGATGAAGATGGGACATTTTGCAATTTTCCAAATACTAAATTACTTATATCTCGAAAATAATAAAACTCTGCTCGTGAAACCCTCTTTTATTCAGAATGACTCATCAAACGTCAAAACAACTTTAGGAGTTTGTTTAAACAATTTTTGAATAATGTTATGAAAAAAACCGAATCAGAATATTTTTACGAACAGAAGCGACGTTACATCTTGGGCTAACTGGTTACATTTTCCATGATTTTTTAGGAATAATCAAGTCCTAACGAAAATAAGGACTAAGGAAAATGCTAAAATTAAGAAAAATATTTGGCGATCCTACTACTATTCCCAAGTGTCAAGACTGAAGAAAAATTAGGTGTCTTCGTAATAAGATCTCAAGCGAAGACACGACTATGCAGTCAGCCTAGTGATGGCAGACATACCAAAAACTGTGACTTAGTAACTGATACTGACAAAGTCCGTGAAAAAGCCTGACATGATCTCGACTTCGGGAAGTGCTGCTTCTCGGCAACGGTGATTGTCGTCATGGGATCACGGCGTGAACATTTGAATGTGTGTGACATGCTCATAAACGCTAGCTGCTAAGTACTAAGGCTTGCAAGCGATATAGTGCTTTATGGGCTTTGGCAGTTGGCTCCATGCGATTTCATCGCGGTGTTTTGCTGACGATATCAGTATAACCGTTATCTCATCGTTATTCCAAAGTCGTGATCACGTCACGCTATGAAGTGACTGATATCAAATAGTAACGATATCATATATCAAGGATACTCAAAAATAACGATATCGGCCATCTAATTTGGCCTTAGCAAACCTATGGTTCGAAGAGCAGTGGAATCGACCTAATACGAGGGATGTCTTTTAAGTTTTGCATATAGAAACATAGCAGGCCGCGCGGATCAAACGTCAGTACTGAATCTTAACCTCACTCTTTAGTAAACTTAAATCCAAAGTTTCACAACAATACGTGCAGTGTTCTCACTACAGTGAATTTGTAAGTGTCACCAAGTCATTAGAAAAATGGAACAAAACCGAGAACATTTTCGCGCCATAATTTATTACAACTTCCAGAGACAATTATCGCAACAAGAATGCCTTGCTGAGTTACTGTCGGTTTTCGGCAACGAAGCGCCACATTAGTCGACAATTTCCCGTTGGCATGGAGAATTCAAACGTGGACGGGTGAGTCTTAGCGACGATCCCTGGGAGGGTGCACCAAAAACGGCAGTCACCCAGGAAAACGTGGATGCTGTGCGCAAACTCATCATTGAAGATAGAGATGTGACATATCGCGGGAATGAGGCGTCCTTGAAGATCTCAAAGACCTCAATTCAAAAAATTTTACATGAAGAATTAGGAGTAAGAAAATTAGTTTCTCGTTGGATACCTCACCTGTTGACTGAAGAGCAGAAAGCAGCCAGGGTTAATTGGTGTCAAAAAACGCGTGACCATTTCAATTCCGGAAACTCAAAAAATGTGTAGAGCATTGTTAGTGGTGATGAATCGTGGATTTACTGCTATGAACCAGAAAATAAACGACAGTCGGCTGATTGGGTGTTCCAAGGTGAAGAAAAGCCAACAAAAGTCATCCGTTCTCGAAGTGTTTCAAAAAAGATGGTCGCGACATTTGTGTCAAAAGCGGGTCATATTGCAACACTTCCTCTTAATGAGCAAAGAACTGTTACTGCGGATTGGCATACCACCATTTGTTAGCCAAAAATCATCACCGAGCTTCGAAAAATCAACCCCGAAAGAAGAATCATCCTCCACCAAGACAATGCAAGCTCGCACACAGCCCAAAAAACAAGGCAGTATTTAACGGAAGAAAACGTGGAATTATTGGACCATCCTCCATATAGTCCCGATTTAAGTCCTAACAATTTCTTTACTTTCCCGAAAATTACAAACAGACTGCGTGGTTAAAGGTTCCAGTCACCAGAAGAAGCAGTTGACGCATTCAAAAATGCCGTTTTGGATCTGCCAGCAAACGAGTGGAATAAGTGCTTCGAAAATTGGTTCGAGCGCATGCAGATCTGTATTAGTCTTCGTGGAGAATACTTCGAAAAACAATAAAGTCATTTAAAACTACCTACCGTGTTGTTTTATTTCCATATGCAAAAGTTAAAAGACATCCTGAATTATTTTCAGTATAACAAATAAAGTGAAGCTAATTGGAAATTATGCTGTAGCTTGTGTGAATTTCCAACTTTACTCGTGAAACCACGAAGCAAAAACAAACTGCATTCAGGTTGTTCGTCACATCAAGTAATAATTAACGCACCTTTCTTAACTTTAGATTTTTCTCGGAAATCTGAATCTGACAAACGAGACCTTTCAGGCCTGTTAACGATAAAGGGTTGGTTTATCTGTCCGTTCTTCAAAAACATTGCCCGTGTTATCTGGATATATTATGTGCTATCTGGGATACTATGTGCACTGAATACATGTATATTTTAGTCGCACTGGAACACAAAACGCTTTGTCCATTGTCTGGAAATATGTATAAATGTATATGTTTGTAAAAATGTAATTTTTCGTCACCATTGTCGTTACACCTATAAGAAAGTCTACTTTCCGAAGAAATCCGTAAGACCCAAATACTTTTATGAGAAATGATAGTCATCTATTTACTTGCTATTCATTGCGCATTACTTTTTGACTATGTAACTATAACCAACCGACAACTTCACGATAGTAAACTACATTTTGTTCGCTTTTCGGTTCTATAGCCATGACCAGCCGACAACGTTACGGCAGTAGCGCTATTCTGAACTAAATCTGTTTGCTTTCCTCTGTGTAACGAAGACTAACTGACAACGTTTTTTTTTAGCTTTTTAGCAATCGTCGGTACGTTATAGGTGTAATCATGTGGACACAGATAAGCGGAAAACAAATAAATGGATATGGTCTAATGAAAAACTCAGTATTTTGAACGCAAAGACGTGACTGCCACCTAGAAATAGTTCACCAAAGCCTGATACATCTTTGCTACATACGCTGAAAATGACAGACGGCCCCTAAGCATCTGACCTTCAATGAATGACAGTTGTCACTCTGTATATCGCTCACCATTATTAAAGAACGATAAAGGATGATAGCTTCGGCGAACCGTTTATGAAAGGTCGATAATGCTTCTTACCTACAATTCAGAAATATTTGAGGTTCATAATTATTCTTCCCCCGCTTGTGCGTAGATAAGTTAGTAGGCTCATCCACTTAAAAGTTATGATGTAAACGGATCCACATGCTAAACTTGTAAAGTACCCCTTTATTTATTTTGGAAGTTAATAATCTAGGACTCTCATGCGAAGGGTGAACATTTCGATTTACCAGTTACCAACTGGAAGTTTATCCACCGTATTTCCATCTGTACTCACAAAACTAACCACGGATATGACATGGGAAACGGACAGGAGCTAAAATAATCAGCGTCTGGATTGCTAATCATATTCAGTAGTAATTAACTCCTATTTTTGGAAATTACCTTAGTTAACAGTTTAATTTTTCTCTGAAATTTTAATCTGACAAGTAAGACCTTTCAGATTTTTTTACGGATAATGAGAAAGTTTATATGCAAGCTGGAACAAAGTTGCGTGATAAAGACAGTTACCGACATCGGAGGTCTATGTCCAATTTGGAATAATTGTCTATACTTTATACGCGCTTACATTTCAGGTGCACTTGAACACTAAATGCTCTGTTATCTAATGCTTTTGAAAATCAATATTCATAGCAGATGATTTACACGAAGATCCGAAAGACAGTGGCCATTTTAGGACGTAAAATACTTTGAAAAGTAAGTTGCAGATTATATAAAAATATAAGAAAACCTTCAAATGCTTTTTCAGTAGCTGTAACAAAGTAAATTTTTACACCAGTCCAATCCTAATAAAGAATGAAGTGTTCTAGTTTCTGCGTCCCTGGATCAGTTTGCGAAAATAACTTATATTACACTGTTTTATGTTCTCGAGTTTATCTCGGTGTCACTCTTGACAAGGGAATGACCTGGCAGAAGCACACAGAAGCGTTAAAAACTAAATTCCAAATCTCGTTTCGGCAACTCTACCCTATGCTATGTAGAACATTAAAATTAAGTTTGATCAACAAAGTTCGACTATACAAGATGGTTATTAGACCACCGATCACTTACGCAAGTGCAGCTTGGTGTTTTCTCGCCAAAACGCATTTGCGTAGCCTGCAGGTTTTGCAGAACAGAACCTTGCGTACAATCACTAACGCCCCATGGTATGTTTCCAACGAGACCCTTCCCAGAGACCTTGACATCAAACAACAAGCGTAGCTACGTTATAGTCAAGCGGAATCGCGCGAGTCAGTAGACTACACAGTCGAGCAAGTTCGCAAGCACACAAGGCCGCGACTCGCACTGTGAACAAAACTAAATCGTGCGACTTTAGGTCCAACAAAAATTATAATTTTTCTTCAACAACCAATCCCAAAATTAATTTTAGGACCAATTTAAAATTGCCGTATACTAATTAGCAATGCCAAGGCACCCCTCAAATTGACGCACTTCTTTTTTCTTTGCTCTCCCTCCTTCCTTCCTTACTTTCTTCTTCCCGTCTTTCTTCCTAACTTTGTTTGATATCTGGGCAACCAGACCTGACAGGCCTATTGACTTACAAGACTTCAACCAAGAGCAAAGGTCCTACGGACCGCTCTGACAGACAATGACGAATAAAGAGTTTTCGATTATGGAATACAACTCCAACACTTTACACCTGGCCGAGGAACATTTTATGAACATTGTGTATGAAAGTGTTCCTTGTTATTTTTTTCTTTTTGCTTTAGAAATAAAGCTACAAAAAAAATTTTCACAGTTATTTAAATAGTTCAGGTTTTGAGATGGTAGGTAAGAGTAAAAGTGCTTATGGTATAAAATTCTTATCCGATCACTGTTGCAGGCAAGTTTTACTTACTCTATACTATTCAAACTTTAATTATCGCTTGTGCTAGGCATTTTAAGCTGGAGATGCATCGATCGATAAATAGGGTATTTCTTATCCAAAGATGTGTTACTAGAATCGTTGCAAATCTTAATTGGCGTAAATCTTGCAGGGATTATTCTCGGTCCTTGAAAATTTGAACAGGCGCCAGAATTATGATAATTATGGATTATCAACATTTATGTATACGAATAAATTGAAAGCATTCAATAATAAAGAAGGACACGGTTATAAAGCTCAATCTAAGGATCTGCTGATACCCCCTCTACATAGTACTACAGCATATCAAAAATCTTTAAGTTGCAGGGTATGTAACATACTCAATAATATGAAAAATATAATAGAAGATAGTAAAAAATCACCAACAGTCTCAAAAGTCAATTGAGATCATTTCTAACAGATAAGTGTTTTATAGCTTGCATATAAAACTGTTTTTTAATCTATATTGTACTGTCTTTGACTTTTGATTTGTTATAGTCTGTGGCTATTTAACAATGAAATAAATGTGTTATTATTATTATCATTATTATTTTTGTCAGAAGGTCAGATACAACATGTACAGGTTCCAGATGATTATTTTGTCCAGGGTAAATAGGAACAATGAGAAAATAGATGACGCATCCTATGGAACGGATTTGTATCTGGTTACAACATCATATTCCTAATGACTTTAAAATTTTGCATCCAAACCAGTTTAAAATCAAATAAAAAAAAAGATTTTTTTTGTACTATAACTCTATTATACTAAATCTATTATTCAAGGCTTTCTAAGGTAGATCTTTCTTTATATATATATAAAACAAAAGACAAAAAGTAGGAAAACAATGGGCAAAATCCGCAAAAAGGATGAAAGTGGTTTCGAGCAGAAAATAGGATAGGTAACCCGAGCGATACGTATTTCTGCTGGTTAGCTTCATCAGGCCCGAAATGAATGTACATATGCAACTACAAAAGTAGATACACATGTCCACACATCTGGATACGGGTGTAACCTGAGGAAACGAAGATGGAGAGGGAACAAATCGACACACGAAGTCCACAACAAGAGACTTCGTGTGTTGATTACATTCTGTAGATTTCCTGTAACTAGTTCTTTCATACCATAACTGGCAGAATGATGTGGAATCGTAAATACTTATGTATTGCGCGCAGGTATTTATTTATTTGTGCAAGCAGCTCTGGGCGCAATCTATCACACCATTAATTATTTCAAACAATAACATGAATCAAAAACTTCCTGGCGGTGTTTCAAAGAGTCTATGTTCAACGTACTGAAGTATTATGACTACGATCCATATTAAGAGCTGTTGTCATATCACTGTGTTCTACTCCAAAATACTCAACACCGCAGTATATCTTTTACATGTATATTTTTATAAGCTCCATTTCACAGCTGCATCCAGATGTCTACTGTACTTCAAGATCCCGTAAGTACATCTTTATGCAATTCTAAGCGACTATTCCATTATGAATTATCCGTTTTATGAGGTCATACGTTCTCCACGGCAAGCACACTCCATCTTCCCAAATCTACCCACAGAACGTGAGTGTACCGAAGAATTTCTCAAGATCACCCCCTTAACCGTTACTTATAGCTACAAGACCACTATAAAGCACCTGGGCTGGTTCAATAAGTCACCTATAGATAGCACTTTATGACCCTCATAAATAGCCGAGCTACCTATTATGCAGAGATTTTAATACACAGACACACACTATCGATCGATTTGCAGAATTTGAATTGCCTTTGCTGGGAAAACTCGTTATAATCCCCAGTGCTCAACGCTTATTAAATTATTTCAGGCTATTAGGATGAGGATAAAAACGTTTGGAGTAGTTTTTGGATTTCGCGTAGAAAAATATTTTTCCATCATCAAATAGTGAATCGTATCGTACTAAGATTAAAGATTGCAAACACAGACTCATGTCGTCTCACTACCTGTGTTTATTTTGATAGAGAATTTTCCACACAGAAAAGTCACAATTATGGTGCAAACTTTCAACAGATATTGGAGGCCTTAGAAAATGCCGATGTTCAAGAGGTAAAAAATCATCCGACTACGGTTTAGCACAGGGT